TTGGTTGGAGGGAACTGGTTGGGACGATACCGTGTCTCCGACCACATTAGACCGTTGGCAGGCATTTATGCACGACTACATGGACATTAATACCATTCGGATACCAAGATGGGTTCACTTTACGCAAACAGATGACGCCGAAATACATGGATTCAGCGACGCTTCGGAGAAAGCATACGCGGCGACTGTTTTCTTGAGAGTTAAGACTGCGGAAAGAGTTGTGGTCAGCTTTCTAATGGCAAAAACAAAGGTAGCGCCCGTCAAAACAGTATCGTTACCCCGTTTAGAACTTTGCGGCGCAGTTTTGCTTTCGGAAACCGTAGAAGCGGTCGTCGAAAATCTGAGTCTTGGACATTTGAAAATAAATCTCTGGACAGATTCGACAATAGTCCTCGCATGGATCCGGAAACCACCGTGTTCGTGGTCAACTTTCGTTGCTCACCGAATAACAAAAATTGTAGACAAGGTGGGAACCGAAAACTGGCGTCATGTGGATTCGGCATCAAACCCAGCAGATCTGGCGAGTAGAGGACTTTCGGCGAGTGATCTAGTCAACAACTCCTTGTGGTGGCAGGGTCCTTCTTGGTTACAAGAAGACTATTCGAGATGGCCAGCACAAGAATCGGACTTTGACACAACCATTGAAGAAAAAAGGGTGCATGTTCATGCAACCACAAAAGTAAAAGACTTTCACGACATTCTCGATCGATTTTCTGATTTATCACGGGCTTTGAGAGTTATATCTTATATTATGAGATTCTATCAAAGAATCAATCCCAAAACGAAATATTCCTTTAAAGCGGAGTCTCGTTCAATTTCGGCCAACGAAATTAAAACAACGACCCAACGCTTAATAACAATTTGTCAAAAACAATATTACAGCGAAGAATATACAAGCTTAAAATCTGGAAAATCCATCGACGGAAAAAGTGAAATCCTGCCTCTTAACCCGTTCATCGACAAAGATGAGATTCTGAGGGCTGGTGGTCGTCTGAGCGCATCTAGCGATCTGTCCTACAATGAACGTCATCCTATCATTCTTCCGTATGGTTGTAGGATGTCCCGTCTCTTGGTCCAGTTTATCCATAAAATTTCCGTGCACGGAGAAAACCAGCTGATGCTGCGACTTATCCGATCGCAGTATTGGATTCCCAGAGTGAAAAACTTGATACGGTCCGTCATACATAACTGCAAGGTCTGCACGATCCACAAGAAACGGTCGCAAACTCAACTTATGGGAATCCTTCCCAAAGAACGCACAACCTTTTCCCGTGCATTCACAAACACGGGGGTGGATTTCGCGGGCCCGTTCGACATCAAGTCCTACCGGGGCAGAGGATGTCGCATGTCAAAAGGCTACGTCTGTCTCTTCGTCTGTTTCTCGACGAAAGCCATTCACCTTGAAGCTACCAGCGACCTTAGCACCGCGTCCTTTCTAGCCGCTTTCGCAAGATTCGTTGCTAGACGAGGATGTCCAAAAAACGTTTACTCCGACAATGGTACTAACTTTGTCGGAGCCTCACGATCTTTACGATCGGAATTCAAAGCATTTTTAGCTGAGGCACGCAATAGCACCCTCACTAAGTACAGCCATCAAGCCTTAGAGTGGCATTTCATACCCGCTGCGGCCCCTCACATGGGCGGTTTGTGGGAAGCTGGGGTGAAAAGTTTCAAAACCCACTTTAAAAAGGTCGCGTCCGACCACAAATATACTTTTGAAGAGTTCACCACACTCTTATGCCGTATTGAGTCTTGTCTCAACTCACGACCACTAAGCCCCTCTTCAAACGAACCGTCTGACCTGGAGCCGCTTACCCCCGGTCATTTTCTGGTCGGCGGGCATCTTCTTGCCCCACCCGAAATCGATGTAAATGAAAGTCCAGCCTCAATCGTAAATCGATGGCAGAAACTGAAGGCCCTACACCAGACATTCTGTAGGAGATGGAAAATGGAATACCTCACCGAGATGCAGAAACGCATCAAGTGGAAACATCCACAAACCAACTTAAAGCTTGGAGACCTTGTCGTCGGTAAAGAGGAAAACCTGCCAACAAACGAATGGAGATTGGGAAGAATAGTCAAGCTACACCCAGGTTCCGACAACCCAGTAAGAGTAGTCGACATCGAAACAGCTAAGGGAGAAATCAGAAGGCCAATCGCAAAATTTGTCCTACTTCCGCCCTACAATGAGAACAGCACAACCTCGCAGTAAACTTCTTACCTACTCTTCATTCCACTTCACAAAAGAAACCCACCTATTCCACTTCTCTTCATCCTGCATCATCCCAAATCTCAAATTATCGCATTAACAAAAAAACCCGATTTAATTTGAGATATATATTTCTTTCAAGTATTTATATCTCTGTCCTTATAGCGCACTCGATGAGGCCGTATTCAAAGTAAAACATACATAGTTTTTATTTTAAAGCTTTTAATTAGTTATATATGTATATTATGTTTCGTTTTTTTTATGAGCGCACATACGCATGCTCAATTGAGGCTATCAATGTAAATTTCAATGTTTACAATACAACACCTTCTAAATGTATAATTATGAATATTTTTCTTGTTTCACATTTTTATAAGAGTTGCAGAGCATTTACATAGGTTTTAATTTTCGCATGCACATTGTTTACTGTTCGAGTGTAAGCGATCAATGAATTTTATCCATTAACCAAGTTTTAAAAGTAATAGAACACGTGGGCACTGTTCCATACCTTTACAAAAAGTTATGAAAAATTTTAAATGCAGCAGGCAAAAGAATTACAAAACTTATGTATATTCACAAATACATACATATATCGTTAGTACAGTACGGAAAGGGCGTATCTCACATCATCGCTGATATATAAAAAGACCGTAACTAACTAAAAATCCAAAATCCTAATCTTATGCAATATACAATTTTTCAGTTAGTCGTGGCTTTTTTGTATACTAACGATATGCACAAAGGCAACCTAGCAAAGAATTTGTTCCTTTGCGTTATGGTAAACATTTTACCATTTTAAAAAATCACAAACGATAATTCAAGCATCAAAGAATCAAAATCTCAGTTTCGTTGAAAGCAATTTAAAACTGGTTACTCGTTAATAAGTTCGAAACATACAAATAAAATCTAGAAAATATTCCCAGCTAGTAAACTGTGCCCCGTTTAAGTTGATACATATTTGTACATTTTGAAACTCCATAAACAAAATTATATAACGTGATCGCTAGTTTTACAACAGCCGATTTCTAATAAATCTAATGTAGAACCAGCTTTTATAGTACATGACTTGTGGAATTCACTGTAAATGGTATGCCCCAGGTATAAGCAGCAGTTAAAAGGGAAAACATAGAATCAATTTCCAAAATAAAGTGGTTTTTTTTTGTTTTAAATTTCTTCTAATCGGTTACGAATTACATTTGTCAAGCAGCTTGGTATGCTTTTTTTTGTTAAATAAAATGCCAAGCTTATAGTGGAAGAAACGGAAACACAAGCAAGTGGTAGCTAATCAACGGAGAGTGCACACCGAGGACATTTAAATATTATACATATAAACAATACACTCTTCCAACGATATTTTGTGTTATACATACGGTGACCATAAATATGGATTCAAAATGAAGGACAATTTTTCAAAAATATGCCTACATATATTAACGTAGCATAAAAATATCAAAAGAGTATTTATGATTCTAATTTCTTAATACATTTTAAACTTTAAAAATGAATCACGTTTTCTTCATCGATATTAATCTTTTTTTTACATGAATATTTATAAAAGTATCGCACGACATATTACAATTACAATAGCTTACACGAAAAGTGAAAATCTTTAAAATATTATTTTATAGGCAAATGTTGAGTCGTTCAAAACGGAAACAATAAAATTTTTTTGTTTTTTTTGGTACTTTTCGCAGTTATTTGTCAAAAATCGACATCAAGAATCGACGTAAACGACGAGTTACAAAGTTCCCTTTACAGGAATATATAATTTGTGCAGATTGCGCTCCATAGCATCTACATTTCTACATTTCTGTGGCTCAAAATTTACTGTAGTGATATATCTTCCTTATCGAATTTTTAAAATAATGAAAAAAAAATATTCAAATGAATCTGCGTATTTGATTGAAAATCTCACTTTCCTCGACTGCGACGACAAAATGCAAATGGTAATGATAACTTTCATTGAAGTCGCCACAAGTCATATATTTTAGTAAGAGGCACATCAATACCCTTCGAGTTGTAAGTTGCTTACGTTGATTGGGAGATTTTTTCATGAGATATTGAAGAAAAGCTACAAAAAGTACCAAAAATCACTTTTTTGAAAAAATCCATCCATTGTCCGATAATTTTAAAATAACGAATAAAATGTGGGACAAATGCAGGACACTTGTGGAAAATTCAGTACATTTTCAGGTTTTTCAGATTTGAAAAACTACGCAGGACCGCCCTTTGAAAAACAGTACGGTCCTGCAAAAAACAGAACGGATGGTCACCGTAGTTATACATACATATATGTATATGCACATATTTCAGTTGCTACAATAACAAATTTTTGTATCACTTCTGGCGTCCAACGTGGGGCGCCCCGACGATGTCGGAGTCAACCCAGACTAAGCAGGAGATGGAAACACACATTCCGGAGTACTTAAATTTATTACCTCCTTCCGAATGTAATTTATTAAAGAATTGGCTGCACACCTTACACCCATCTATCGGCAATGGGGTGTCAGCAGGCTTCGAAAGGGTAACTCGACTACTAGAGTGCCACATATACCCTACCATACAGATACTGAACCAAAGCCGGGACAAATCAAAATTTCATATCAGTCGTGTAATCGCAGAAGTGCTGCATATATTATTGGCCCAAAATGATAGTAAATGTAGGGCAGCGTTCATTAATTTCATCGTAAACTTACCACCACTCGCGATTATTTTCCGTTGCCTTTTTTCTTGGCCTTAGTTAAAATTTGTCCATGCAAGGCCTTTTTTGCCAAAAATGACCAGTTCGGATTCAGTAGCTTTTTTCCGTATGCGGGCTTATCAGCTGAGTTTGCTTGGCATTTAATTGCGTAAGAAGCGTGCGCGCTGTCGCCGGCATGTAAGGGAATAGCAGATTAGCTAAAATTGCAGCAATATTGGCGCAAACACCAATGATGGTGGCAGCACGCTCCTTCTGCTCATCGGTACCCTTCAGTAACACCCACGGCTGTTGCGCTTGCATATAACCATTGCCTTGGCGAGAAATTGAAAGCATATGTCGAATGCCATCACGTAATTTGGCCTTTTCAAGTGAGTTTACATAGCCACGGACTTCACGATTTATAAGTGCCAAAAGTACGAGTTCGTCCTTGGTTAGGGTCATGGCTTGTATGACGCCATCAAAGTTCTTTTCGCAAAAGACTAACGCACGATTTACAAAATTGCCCAGATTGTTTAGCAAGTCGGAATTATTACGCGCCGCTAAGTCATTCCAACTAAAGCTAGAATCTTGTCCTTCGGGACGCGCACAAGCAAGGTAGAAACGCCATATATCAGCAGGTATGCCAGTCTCCTGTGCATCATTACCGAATGCGCCACTTGCCACCCAACCCAAAACTAATAGTACGTAACTTTTTACACCTACGGACATAACTACGAGACTCATTTACAGAATGACTCGTTTCTCGGCTAATCGCGCACATGCCGAAGAACGCGCTGATAAATTCACGGTTCTATGCCGGCTATGCGGCGGAGCGCATGGCATTCGACTATGCCCCCTTTACCGCGGCAAAGCGGTCGAAGCAAGGCTGCGTGCAGTCCTGCTGCATAAATATTGCCCAAACTGCCTCTCGCCGTTCCACCGCCTCGACATGTGCAGCAGCACGGATCGATGCCACCGATGTCGCGAAAAGCATCACACCTCGCTCCATCTCGATGACTGCGAAGACCAAAGGCATCCAGCGAACGCGATCAACGACGGCGAGAGCTCGGACGGGGCACTCTCTATCGACGTTACGGAGCAGACGAAGTCGTGGGCGCAGCAGGTCGAAGAGGAGGAGTTGGAGGGGTCAGAGAGGACAGACTCTTCCCCACATGAGCGACAAAAGCGCAACTCTGGAAATGGCACACCGAGACCGTTAGACAAGTTACAACCACGCGCGGGCGACGCGGAAACTCGTTCTTTCCGCTCGCCAACGCGTGCACAACACAACTGGCGCGACGCGGAAACTCGTCCATTCCGCTCGCAAACGCGTCAACAACACAACTGGCGGCAACACGGCGGCGCGGAAACCAGTCCTTTCCGCCCGGCATCACGATCGCAACGCAAGCCAAAACGGCACGACGGCGCGGAAACTCGTACTTTCCGCTCGTCTAAGCGATCGTCTAGGCTACGCAAAGCAGCACCATACCACAAAACTCGCACAAACGACAGCAACATCAATAGTCGTGCCTTACAACGCGCTCCACCGACCAGCTTCCGAACGGGCCGCCTAGTGCAAAGCGCCATATCAACGCCGATCATTCGTGCGCTTATCCCCATCGCGCCGACCGCAATAGTGCGGATTGAAGCAAGGGGCCGTCTTCATTTGGTTCGCGCAATGATTGACCCTTGCGCACCAAACTCATTGGTTGATTCGGAACTGGTGTGAGATCTCCAACTGGAACGCAACGGATCAGGACGTTGCACGGTCACCATGCGAGGAAGATACAGCAGCTCCGACCGCATTACGACACAAGCAGTCGTGCTGGACCACCATATACGTCTGAGTCCACCGTCGAACCTGGACCCTAAGGTTGCGGCCCCGTTCCAGTTCATGCGCTTGGCGGATCCGCAATTCTTCCGCGCGTCACCAATACGCCTCACACTGGGCCTCGATCTGCATGCGCAGATGATGGTGAGCGGGACCTCCCCATCCACCGTGGGTGGTCTCCTGGTCCAGGCGACCATATACGGTCTGGTTGTTTCGGGAGCCTGCCAACCATAAACGTAGAGATTAAGAAGACAAAACCACACATACACACACACTCATCACACACATACCTAAAAATTTAAATAAAAAAAGTGCATTGAAATTTCAAACCACGTCTGTTTCAATTAACAATGTCCTTTTCTCCACAGCCTCAGATGAACCGGTCGCGACGAAAGCGTTGGCGAATAAGCAGCCCCGCGCAGTACAAAATCCGCGCTGCATATTATAGTTAGTCCTTAAGACTTTCCTCACGTGCGTGTGACGGTTGAGACGCGACTCCTTTTCTTTTTCATAGCTTGCTTACCGCAAGGGGGCCGGTATGTTTAGGTCCGCGACCTAAATATATTGCACCACCCTAATCCGCGTTTTGTCACTTGATGTAAGAGCACACAAACACATACACAAGTTACGGCTATCTTTCCAGCCGCTAACAACAAGCCCCACTGTACGATAACTATTGGAGGGGAAACTTAACGAAAGTTACTGTGCGGTGGGCTACATCCCTTTTCGTTTGTTGGCACTTCTTCACTTCTTAGAAGACAGCAAGGAGATCACGTCAGCCATCACACCACGTTCGGTAAGCCAACTCTTGTGAGCCACACTATTCAGACTCATAGATATTTACAAATAAAACGCTTTTTAATTTCATTGCACTAAAACCACTGTGTCTTTTATTTGCTCCTATTTTCGTTACATTAACTTTACGCTGGTGCGCTCCATCTTCGTGCGACGCCACCTGCGTAAATATTGATGCCCGCCGACCAGAAAATGACCGAAGGTAAGCGGCTCCAGGCATGTTTAGGCGCGTCTGCTAACACCAGGCGCCTAAATACATGCTATG